GAAAGCGACTCAGGTTCTGGTCCAGGCTCTCGTCATCTCACGCCTAGACTACTGCAACTCCCTCCTGGCTGGTCGACCTGCATGTGCCATCCGACCTCTGCAGCTCATCCAGAATGCAGCGGCTCGTCTGGTCTTCAACCTTCCTAAATTCTCCCACACCACTCCGCTCCTCCGCTCCCTTCACTGGCTTCCGGTAACTGCTAGAATCCACTTCAAGACACTGGTACTTGCTTACCATGCTGCGAATGGATCTGGCCCTTCCTACATCCAGGACATGGTTAAACCGTACACCCCAGCGCGTGCACTACGCTCTGCATCAGCCAAACGACTCGTTGCGCCCTCGCTGCGAGGAGGACCCAAGTTCCCATCGGCGAAAACACGTGGGTTTGCTATCCTGGCTCCAAGATGGTGGAATGAGCTCCCCATTGACATCAGGACGGCAGATAGCTTGCACATCTTCCGGCGCAAACTGAAAACTCATCTCTTTCGACTCCACTTCGAGCGTTAGAACGATTAACGAAGCACTTTTATACTAATAAAGGACTGGATTACCTAAAGGCAGTTGAGTAGCACTTGAAATGTTTGGCTCTATGAAACCTGATGTACTTTATGATTCTGTTTTCTTCAAGGTTGTGTCTTCCTGGTCGAATGTACTTATTGTAAGTCGCTTTGGACAAAAGCGTCAGCTAAATGCAATGTAATGTAATGTAATGTAATAATATTACATTCACCTCATTCTCCAGCAGCCAATCACTGTGCTGCAGCCAAACTTTAAAATGGCAGTCAGCTGTGATTTCAGGTGTTCATGCTTCCGCCCGCCTCCTCCTCATCCACCTCCTTTCATCACATCCAGTGCCAGGAGAGCTAATCCAAAGACCTCATCACACCCCCTCTTCATCCCATCTCCTCATCAAATCCAGATCTTCAGCATCACCACCAGTGACTAGATCCCGGAGGGGTTCCCTATATGCTCACAGCTGCATTTCCCCTTTCGATAAACCATTTCAGGATCGGGGTCTAATCGAGACTTAACATTTAACGTATGGCATTGTTGTGAGTTTTCATAGTATGTTTAATACTTAAAAACGAAAGTTAGTTATAATCAAATATAATCAATTATATTCTTGTATAACCCACAATGAAAATGCTTCATATTTTAGGTTTTCTATAGTTACAGTATAAACAAAACAAAGTGGGTTGTTTAGGTTGAGTTTTCTTCCTCTCCTCTGGCAGCAGTCCACAGGGAGGGGGGGCTTCACACTAAGGGGAGAAACATTAAGAGGCCAAAGAGAGTTCATGTCCTTTTTACCTCATATGAAAGGGTGTCGTATCCCATAACAGCTGTGGAACATGTTGGGACATGTTCAGCCTTGTACATTATGCGCATGCGCGGTTTTCAACTGAATTGGGTGTAAGAGGAGGAGTTTGTTTTTTTGGGTTTTGGATCCAGTTTTTTTAGCATAAAGAGACTGGTTTTTTGAGAGAGCGCGAGAGAGGGGGGGTGACCCCTGGTAGACTCTCTCCGGGTAGGCTGTGTGCTTCAGAGCTGGGTTAATAGCTCTCGGTAAGGTCCTCCCAGACGGGGTAAATATCTCTCGAATTTATTGGTTGTTGGCTGAGTGGAATGATTTGATGAGAGATGTGTTGGTGAATATTATAACCCGCGACCTGTAAGGACCTTCCTTCGAACTCTTGGCGGATAGGAATGGGTTTTTGAGTGTTAATCCGCCGTCTGTGTCGGAAAAAGTGTATGAAACTGAAGTGAATAAATGGGTGAATGGAAAGTTGAATGCGCTTTTTATTGTCACCGGTCTTTTTACGAGGAAATACCTCTAAATTATATCGGGAGAATTTTAAAATGTCACAACTGAAATGGGCAGTTGAAATTAAAACATTTTGGTAATAAATGTAAGACTGTGAATTAAAGTTTCATTTGAACATGATCACAGCACGGTTTTTTTGTTAGTATGATTATAATGTTGTGAGAGAGAAGGAAAAAACCCTGTATTAGTTTGGACCTATTTTTCTTCAAATAAACTGAATCCCACCTGTTGGATTGGGATCCTTTAAAAGACACCTGTGCCCTCCTCTCCTGCGTCAAAGGTAAGATTGCACCCTGCCACACACACTTAGGTAGGAGCACACTCCATTTACTGATATCAAAATCCTTCGGGATCGCTTAAACAGATTAAAAGAGAGTTGTCTGAATTGAAACAGCAGTTAATTGAACCTGGTTCTTCGGGGGGGGTTAGGAAGAGGTGAGATCTTGCTGACGTTGGTGGATCTGAGCCAAGCAGCAAACTTACATAGACTCAATAATCTTCGGAAAGGTCAATTAGGAGGTCAGAGTCATTTACCGGAATAAATTATCAGGACCTCTCAAAACTCTAAACAGCATGTGTCAATAAATGTTCTTTAAACAAAATGAAGTCTCTCCTGATTGAAATACACAGAAGCATCCCACAAGCGGTCCTTGGGATGATAGTACATTATTGAAAACATTAATAACAGAATGCTTAATGCACAACATATCAAGAAATAAGTAGCCAATGCTTCAATCCTTTGAGAATACACTGTTTGTAGGCTATTTTAATTTAATAATACATTACATTTATAAAGTGCTTCTGGTCCTCAAAGCGCTTACAAGCAAGTAAAAACAAAAATAACAACAAAAGTAGAAAGTGCTAAGCTAGGTGGAATAAGAGAAAGGGTTAGTTGATGAAGGCAAGAGTGAAAAGGTGAGTTTTGAGAGATTGAATGATGTTGACGGATCTGACGTGGCTGGAGAGGGAGTGGGGGAGGCTGCTGCGAAGGCCCTGTCACCCTAGGTCTGGAGCTTTGTCCTGATGGGCTGCAGTAGGTTAGCTTCAGCTAACATCTGAGGCGACGGGGGGGGGCAAGGTTGTTGAGGGCTTTGAAAGTGAAAAGTAATATTTTAAAGTCAATGCGGTGTTTGATGGGGAGCTCTTGATGGGAGGAATTTAGTAGATAACTTCTAAATATCAGTACAGGGGCTTCAAAGGTTTTTTACTCGTTTTTTTGTGGTCTTTTTGGACAGCGGAAGGCTAGATTACCCATGATCCTCAGCCACCGTTGCCGTGGAAACGGAGCCGGACCACTCTCCGCTACCTGCATAACCCTAATTTATTTCAGATACCAAACACACTTTTTCCGAAGATTTGTGTCACAAATATCAAAACAATATATGTGTCGATAACAAAATACATCCATCATAAACTAAACTGGAAACAGCAGTATCATTTGTCTTGTTAACACTTTAAAGTTGACAGTTTTTTTTAACCCGTACCGCCTAGTGGTTAAAGCACGTTATTGAATTTGTTTGTTGAATTATGTTATATTTCATGAAACATACAAATATTAAGAGTACATACATAGGGGGAAAGTAGAAGGTCAATCATATAAATATAGATGAAAATATCAAGAAGATACTGTTGTGATCTCTACAATAAAACAGTTTAGTGCCGGACGTCCAAAGATATTAACAGGAGGATGCAAAACAGACAAACTAAATAGGCTTCTTTTTAACATTAAAGATTACTTTAAGTTAAGGTCTTCTTTTAAATAAGAAAAAAGCTTTGGGGGTATCTACAGACCAATATTAAGTCTGACAAAGTGCTTAACGTTTAATATATTGCATCGTTTGTTTTGGAACTTGACAATCAACTTTCCTGCAATGTTAACTAAGTTGAAGCACTTATTTGAACTGATATTATACATATGTAGTATACTCTTATAAGATGTATCTAGAATCTAGATAGTATAAGAAATGTGCAGAATATGACGGTTTAATGGTGGAGGTATGCACACATATCGATAGATGTCTTGTAATGCACTGTTGAGGAACCTGCGACCAAAGTTTTTAATCTCTGACCTTTTTAATCTCCGGCCTTGTCAGGTATTGAACATCCAATAAATGAGGAACAGAGAATTATTAAATATAAAACATAGAATTTGTGTGATTATACTAAATGATTTCTAAATAAACACCACTGCATATTTCCAACTGTTACACATGCTGCTGTAACGAAAAAATGGCCCCGCTTGAGATCAATAAAGTATATCTTATCTTAAGATGATCGATGGCTACTGCCATATTTGCAAAATGTGCCTCTGAACCTTGACAATAGCATGTTTCAGGCTCATCAATGAACAACAGGAGGGGTCACAAACATAAGACCAGCTGTTAAATAAAGATCTTCTGACCTTAGCTGTCATGTGGGTAATGCTGCCCATTATGGACACAAGCAATTTTCACCCATTTATTAATTATATGTTTTAAATATGAAACACATGTGTTTCCTATCCCCTAAACCTCCAGGGATGTACACAGTTTAATACTGACAACTTCTTATTATGGGAAATACGAAAACGTCTTTTAAAACTACAACTCCCAGTAGAGACGTGCCATGGAACATGTTGCGAAACCTTGTGCGAAACACACAATAGCCAGCACGTGTAGTTCTGGTGACGGGGTGGGGGAGGGGGTGGACCCGTCCGACTCCAGTTTTGGACAGTCTGTCGTGGTTCCATTCCATTTCAAAGTGCTGTTGGACGCTCTGCGCACTGCCACTCCAATATCCAATCACAGAGCTTGAGGACTATCACGGGGTTTGTCAAGCAAAGAGAGAATACTTACTTCCGGGTGTAACATTCTCTAAAGCAACTACTATGAGCTGCTCCGACCCTCGGTCCTGATGGACTCCAAAAGTCCGACATTATACAATCAAACAAATAAACACAAGAATAATTGTGTGTTATTGTTGAGTAAATAACAGTGTGTGGTTTAGAAAATAATACAAAATTAGAAGTACGAGTTGGGAGTGAGAATGTGTTGGTATTTACCCTGCATTATGCACGTTACTAATAAAGAATGATGTTATTGTATTGTATGTATTTACAATGTATTCACATTGTAAATAGTTCATAATCAACGAATGACAAAATGCAGTGACAAGAAAACAACCATTGTATAGCACTTGTTTGAGTAATAAGAGGCAGTTTAATATAAAGGCAAGGCAATTTATTTCCATACACATCAGCAAGTCAAAGCGCTTTAAATAAACGGAAGTACAAAATATAAACACATTTTCACATTATTATGAACTCAGTCGGGCGAAACAAGTGCATAGTTTCATATTGTTCTCATATATAGTGTTTTAAAATGTCTTTATTTTGTAGGCCTTTATTATGGCGTGCGCCAGCGTGTGGACGTGACACCTCCCTTGTGAAAGAGCTCTCCAGTGCCTCTGTGTTGCTTGGCAGAAACCTTTACAGGTCTTCTTCCTCAGACTCAGGGCTAGTGTAGTCATTGTCATCCGACTCCTCAATGTCCTGCTGTAATTGAAGATCATGGCATTCCAAAGCGGCTACACCGCTGTACGCATGTACAGCCTGTTTGTGTTGGCTTTGGAGGAAGTGCCACCTCCGACTGAGGACACTCTTGAGCCCATGTGCAGCATCCTCTGTCAGGTCACCGAAATCTGTATATATAGGAATAACCACACAGAAAAAGGGCTCAATGTAAACAAACCATGACAATTGTAAATCTCTTTGCATTGTACAATGCTGCATATGTAAAAACACTACAAAGTAGGTGAATCCATCTCAAACTGAAGGATGTTAGTATATATTGGGTGCCAAATGGGATATGTTGATTAATGTTTGATATCGTGCTTGACAATTAGTCAATAGACAGAAAATAATCGATTATGATCTTGATGATGAATAGTTTCAGTAATTTACTATTTCACTTCGGCCTGACACAGTGACAGATGTGTTCTACTTATGTAAGACATGCAATGTGTTGAAGAGTGGATGAAAATATTCAAATGTTAAGATCTCAGACATACTGCTGGTTGTGATGCCCTCCAAAGTCTGTCCTCTCAGTGCTTCCACTTCTTGCACTTCCTTCAGAAGGAACATGATGTGCTGCGACATCTCTCTCACCAGGATGCTCTGCTCCTCCTCCAAACGTCTGACCAGCATTACCTGCTCAAAGACAGACCTCTTCAACCTGAAGGTGTTGCCTTTAGGTTGAGGAAAGGAATGGAGTAGTAGACAAGGAATATTTATTCATAAATTATATTATTACAGAATGATTTTCATTTCTGAGACACAAATCTTTGTAGCGATAGCATTGGTTCTCTATAATGTAAACTAATAACACATATTATATATTTGCAGGTATCACCATTGCTTTTTCTGCCCCATGATAAACTGTAATATTTTGGTATGGACTAAAAAAACAACAAGCCAAACTAGCAATTCCCCCACCATTTGCATGCCTCTCCCATGGTAGGGTGTAGCCCTCTGTCAGACTGCAAGCCAACTCCTCGTCAATCTGTTCTTCCTGCACTCCGGTGTTGTATTGCACAACTTTTTCGCGAAGCTTCTTTTTCAGCTCTCTCATTCTCTTCCTCTTTCTTTGCCTTGCCTGGTTGCTGTCTGCAAAGTGAAACGGAAACAAAACTGTGTCATGGTGCCAGAATGTTTTTGCTGTTTTTGAAGTGTAATTTCAAACTACGTTTGACAACAAACCATGCTGACGATACAGATCTTGCTTCCTGCGCAAAAGAGTGACGGTGATGTTCTCAATATCCACCCTCAGTCCTTCAGTACACCCTGGGGCGTAAACTCTCTCTAAATAGTTGCAATAAAACAATTGGAGAAGAGATACAATCAGTGACAGTCTCAGTTTCAACATATAGCCAACTTATATTGTATGTCTAAACTTACAGTAATTAACAGATGTATATATGGAAAACCTGTGGTATGTCTTACCTGTGACCGCCCATTGCCTGACATCATACACCCACTGCTGTATGGTCTCCTGATCAAGGTTGTGCTCCTTTTTGAAGTCGCTGAAGCTGACAGCTTCCACCTTTGCCCTCTCTGTGATCTTTACAAAAAAAAGAAAATGTCAGAGCAAAAGCGCCATGCAACACCATAATGCAAAGAACACCAGTTTTCAGTACAAGACCTTCAGAAGAACAGTTGAAACATTCCATGACACCATCTGACTTGCAAGAGGAAGTGTGGATAAGGGAGAACATCATGTATATAGCCATGAGGTTACATTGCAGACATCCTTCATATGTAATGTCAGATGAGAAGACAATTGTAATTTGCCCTTACTTTGACATATCTGTGTGCTAAAACTTGATGAAGGTTGCCCCTCTTCCTTCTGTTCCAACCCATGGCCTGTTGAGTAAGCAGGTTCACTCTTCCTTCTGTTCCATCCCATGGCCTGTTGAGTAAGCATGTTCACTCTTCCTTCTGTTCCAACCCATGGCCTGTTGAGTAAGCAGGTTCACTCTTCCTTCTGTTCCATCCCATGGCCTGTTGAGTAAGCAGGTTCACTCTTCCTTCTGTTCCATCCCATGGCCTGTTGAGTAAGCATGTTCACTCTTCCTTCTGTTCCAACCCATGGCCTGTTGAGTAAGCATGTTCACTCTTCCTTCTGTTCCAACCCATGGCCTGTTGAGTAAGCAGGTTCCCTCTTCCTTCTGTTCCATCCCATGGCCTGTTGAGTAAGCAGGTTCACTCTTCCTTCTGTTCCAACCCATGGCCTGTTGAGTAAGCAGGTTCACTCTTCCTTCTGTTCCAACCCATGGCCTGTTGAGTAAGCATGTTCACTCTTCCTTCTGTTCCATCCCATGGCCTGTTGAGTAAGCAGGTTCCCTCTTCCTTCTGTTCCATCCCATGGCCTGTTGAGTAAGCATGTTCACTCTTCCTTCTGTTCCATCCCATGGCCTGTTGAGTAAGCATGTTCCCTCTTCCTTCTGTTCCATCCCATGGCCTGTTGAGTAAGCATGTTCCCTCTTCCTTCTGTTCCATCCCATGGCCTGTTGAGTAAGCATGTTCCCTCTTCCTTCTGTTCCATCCCATGGCCTGTTGAGTAAGCATGTTCCCTCTTCCTTCTGTTCCATCCCATGGCCTGTTGAGTAAGCATGTTCACTCTTCCTAAAAAACACAAAAATATATCCACAAACAAAAAAATAAGTATTCACATCAAAAAGGCAATACTGAGTGAGAAACCTGACAGACTAAACCCAATCGTTAAAAGGTTGTTGAACTGGTAATACACCAATAATGTTTTTACGGAGGGAACTCTCTGTAAAATACTTCTCACAGTGTGTAGTGTTAATACCAACCTGATTTTGTCATGTATTTTGTGACCAGAGCTGGAGAGAAAGCTGTTCACCTATAATGAATGTTACAATTAATGTTCGGTCACCATTACATAACAATATTACCTACACATCATAGATCTTGAACTGGATGGTTTAAGAGAAAACTTGTGTACTGACTTCCTACAATGTGCATGCATTTATTGTTGCTGAACATATGAGCTGCCTCTCTTTCATTTGAACTCAGACATAAAGGATATGCTTTAAACTAATCAGCAGGCTTGTCACTGAGATGACACATACATATTTGTACTGCTTTCTATTAAGACCTCTTGTATCCATACAGTTATAATAATGCCATTAATAACATACCTGCTCTACTTCCTCTCCCACTGTGTTTCCTGCCCCGTCCTGACTTCTGCCACCCTCTCACCTGCAACACAGCGCAAATAGTGTTATATAGCAACGTGTTTGATATCCAATAAGGCATGCCATGCACAACATTATCCTTTGCATTAAAGATGTTATGTACCTCGCATGTTGCTGTATGGGCTTTAGCATGCATCACGCTAAGAAATGGCCTCATTTCTGTCAACGGCAGAAGCTCTGGTAATCCCTCGGCTATTTTGTGAAGGTATGGCCAGTACCTAAGAAGCAGGAGCAGCATTTTGTGATTGAGTGTTACAAAGATACACTTTTAATTGACATGACAACAATATCAATATCATCTCAAATGACTGCTGAGGCATAGGCCATTTTAAACATTGTTGTGGATGTGCAATATGACAGTGAGGATTACCTGCATGTTACATCCATACAGAAGAAGTCAACATGTGCCTTCTTGGACATCTCTTTTTGGAGAAACATTGGGTACGCGTATATTTCTCCACGGAAGTGGTTCAGTCCTCGTAAGAGAAACCCATGTCTGATTAATCAGAAGAAAATCTAGTTGTTAATAATAAACTGACACAGCAAGGCCTGGCTTAAGCACTCTGTCATCTAGGTGGCTCTAACAACAAATATCACTTGGATGCTACAAAGGATGGATCAATTCCGCTCCACAATCAAAAGTGTTTAATGCTTCCAATTCTTACAAAGACTTAGACTTGGATTGCTATTAAAACTGAAATAATGAGACCAGACTCAAGAAGCAAACACATATACACACACAGACACACTTACAGACCTGCAAACTGCTCGTCTATCTGGGCACCAGACCTTTTTCACATCTCTCTGCCAGCGGTGAATTTGGCAGTACCACAGACGGCACTGTCATTTCCCTATGAAGTCAGTTTATTACACACAAGTTTTGACATATATAAAAGAGAACACCACAGGTGTGACTGCAACTATCATAATAAGAACAAAAACGTACACTTTTCATGTTGCCTCTGACAAGGTCAACAAATGTTGCGACTTCCTCGTCCTTGGCCAGGAACAAGCCCTCATAGATTGGCGGCTCCTCAGTCCTGTCCATGATAAGTTAACATACAAGTCAATAATGAAACTCACAAAGCACTACATTACTATGATTTGTTTTAATGTCTGTTATGGCTACTCAAACACAACCCCAAGGGCTACTATTTGTATTAGCGGTGTGTTCTTTATCATTTTCATTAATACCTATACACACCCTTTTGACTTGGAAAAGCGGTAATGCTTGCGGTTTCCATCACAGCAGACAGCCCACATGTCTGGAGAACATGCTGGACAAACCAAGTGATGGACCTGGCACATATCCTCTTGTTTGTACTGACAGAAGCTAAACTCGAGGAAGCTTCGCTGAAATGTATCAGCACAGATAATACCTGTCTGTATATTGATTTTAAAAAGTGGATTAGTAATTGTTTTGAAAGCAATGCCAACAATTTATGATATGGTATACAGTAATATGATATTGTTTTTTGTATGTTTCCGTGTGATTCAGATTTACCCGTCCAGCTTGAACAGATCTGTGCTCCAACATTTTCAGAAATGCCTGCCTGGACACGGCTGGTGCTGTCACCTTCATGTGCTCCAATGAGGTGAACACATCATATTTGTAAAGCGTCTGGCAGCTGGTGCTAGCTGGCCAGTACCGATACAAAAGCAGGTCTTTAACCTCAGGAGTCCATTCTGCAGAGCAGGATGGACAGGATTTCCGAGGCAAGCAGACATTGTATCGTCCTGTGAACAAATGGAAAAAGTAAAGGTATTTCGGTAATTAAACTGTGAGTTTGCCTTAAAATATTGGATTTTATACATAGATGTGCATATATGATATATTAGCTATTTGACATGGCATTTGGGTGTTGTCTGGAAATGACCAGGTGATACAAATCTTTGCATTGCACAAAGTGGTAAAACTCTGCCGTACAATACTACTTGTACAAAAAGAAGGGCTTTCAGAACAACATACCGTTGATGGGGACCACAGAAATATGCTTCCAAGGAGTCACTGTGACGTCATCAGAGCATTCACAGATTGACCTTGGAGTAGGAACAGGCAGTTGACATACTGCAATATAGAAAATAAATTAGGAAGGGTGTATTTACAGTTTTTCCTTAATTCTCCAGATTATAAAGATATTCAATAAAATGTTGCATAACTTCCACATATCTTGCAGCCCTAGTCAAAACCAATCATACTTTTTTCAATCAGCTATGTACACTTCCCATTCACACTTAATTTTGGGAACTACATTATAATGGGACATTGTAATGTAATGTTAACCTTTACATACTTTGTTCACAAAACTGAGGCTGGCCATTTTCATCCACCACCACAGAAGTTGTAGGGGGAATGGGCTCCAGAAATCCATTGAACACAGCCTCTCTGTCATGGAAGATATTCCTCTTGTGGGCCTCCATGTCACAGGTTGCACAGAGGAACTCCATGTGGAACACAGTCCAGGCACCTCATAGCCGCTTCTTCTGCACAGCATCTGTGGCACTTCTGAATGGCTATTCTCTCAGCTGAGAGTTTTGCATTAAAAAGCATTGGCCTAGCCGTTTTCATTCTCCCATCTGTGAGAAGCTGCCTTTGTGCCCAGGCAGAAACCGGTCCGTCTGTTGCCTCCGGAACCTGGACTGCAGTTAGGGCGTCCCTTAACTCTTGAAGATGAGTTTCTAAAAAATAAAACAGCTGTTAAGCCGCCACCCTAAAACTGGTATGACGGATATTAAGGTAGTATACTGAACCACTTTTGAGTTGGAAAAAGATATGCAGGACTAATAATAGCAACATGCTATGAATCATATGCATCCAAAGCAATATTAGCAAGTGATACTTATACCAAATATGCATTCACTTGTCATGAAACAGTCAATACTCAATACTTTATTATGATTAACTAGATGAGTATAAAAATGGAAACATTGGGGAAAACTGTAGTGCCAGTCAACTGCTGTTATAATCAGACTCACCAAGACTACCAAACTCTTGATGTTCTAGCTGAAGGCCTTCCTCGTGCACAGGATCGTCTCTTCTGGCGTGTGAAGCTGCAGAGACTTCCTTTTTGCTTAACCCTTCAATCAATCTAAAAGGACACCAATTAATTGTAATATGAAAATGCTCTGTAAGGACTGCAGGTAATGAAACTAAGAACTTATTACCACAGCATCACAATGACCATTTACATTTGGCATACTTTTATCCAAATCGAGGTACACATTTTAAAAAATACAACACAGGCAAGGATTATCATCACAGGCTCTTAAAATATCTTCATTTCATTTGGAAATGTTTTAAACATTGCAACAGATTTGTCAAGAGATATCTTTAAATTACATAATTTCATTCTGTGTACACCAAGATAACTTTGTTATGAATGATCTTTATTCTTAGACTTAGAAATCATGATATAGTAAAGAACTAACCTGATGCGGGGCGTTGTGTTTCCCATTGTCTCTCACGTCTGCGTGACCACTGGATTAGAAAGAGGTCTCTTCCTGCCTGTTCTTTCTCCGGAGGGAGCAGGGGTTTCCGTGGCCATGGCAGTCTATATTTTTTCAGAGGTTGAGATCAACAACAAAGTTGTAATACAACATAAGACAGCAGCACTTATATTTGAGCAGTTATTTAACGGTTGCATAAAAAGGACTAACTGTCCCTTTACATGACATCAATAAAAAGCAATAGCAATGATTATATTACAGACTTGGGTATTTGCTTATCATGAAAAGCCTCACCCTGGCCTCAAGGAGATGAGCCTCGCTAATCAATGATGCCATGTGCACCGTGGCCTCATTGCGATCCTCAAAGACCCTCACTTCAGGGTTGAGGGACATGGCATACAAATAATATAAACAATACACAAAATGAAGAGTGAGAGAAAGACAGGAGAGTGATTAACAGAGAAAGTGAGAGAGTGATTAACAGAGAAAGTGAGAGAGTGATTAAAAGAGACAGTGAGAGAGTGATAGAAAGAGAGACAGTGAGAGAAAGAGTGGCTCTTAAAAGTGCCGTTGGTTTTATATGTGTGTGTGTGTGGATATGTGTGTGTTGGTGATATTAAGTGTTGTAATGAAGCTGTAAAACAGAAAAAAAGAAAAACATGATTAGGATTATTTCCAATAACAGTAACATCTGTGTAATACTCTATGCAATAATAATTGATCTGAGCATTACTCTATATGCAATAATAATTCATCTGAGCATTACTCTGGCATACATTATGCATTTATACTGTGCATATTGTTATATTATGCACTTGTTTCTCTTATATCTTCTACTATATATTTAAATTCTAGAATGTAACAATCCCAATCTCCCCCGGAGATCAATGAAGTGTTTCTGATTCAGAGTGGGACATTGGGTGGCCAGTCAAATCCTCTGGAAAACTCCAGTTCCACATTTTAGTTCCACTCCATAGCCGATGCATTAGCAGCTATTACAACTGTGTTGAACACTGTCTTTACAACACATGTGCAAATACATAAATGTAAACATATGTTTCTAGCACGCACCTCCACTGTCCAACTGTGCCGGGGACAGCTAATGTAATTTAGCTGTATAAACTATCAATGCTATCCAGCTCAAAACGTTGACCGGAAGGCCGGAGGCTAGCTGAACGTGGCCGCTAGTTGGCCTATTGTAAAAGCTAAACACACTCCAAAACTCAAACTAATACCCAGGAATGAAACGCTATAGAGACTGCGCTACAGTGGAATAAATAAAAGCAATATTATTTCGTGTTTTAAAGAAATAAACTCCCCTTGATTTTAGATACTTACTGTTGTCCGTTGTCAGATTAAATCGGATGAAATTAATGAAAGTGAGGTGATTGTGGGTAATGTGGCTACGTCACGTTAACGTAAAGCGCGACGTAACGTTGCCGGGGTAACTACGGAATCTTCTTCTGGTTTATTGTTGTTATAATAAAAATGATTATTATTACTATTAAACAAAAAGCATTTCAAATACAGTCAGTAGCCAGTGGGGGGAGTGGTTTTCACCATCATTATCATCATTGTATATGTTTTAAATGACTAATATTGGCCTACAATACCCCTTTATTGATCAAATAGGAATATAATTGTCTTTTAAATAACGTAAACTAAAGGGAACAATCTATTGGACACAGCTGAAGCTCTGGCCTTCCTTAAAAACTAAGTAATTTAATAAAAATCACAGTTGTATTACACACAATGCACTGTTTTTTGAGAACAGAAATTGATAAATAATGCACCATAATACATTCTGACGAAAAATAAAAATAATTATGAATACAAATCAAATAAAAGAAGCCTCCCGTGAGTTACTACAAGCTATAAAGTCGATTTTAAAAACGTTTTATAGAATAAAAGCTCACTGCGGGACGTTGTAGAAATGCGTGTGTGCACCACGACAAAAGAGCCTCATTCACTTTACATTGGGGTTTTTTGCGTGGTGCCGACACGCAAATGTAACAGAATGCGTGACTCCACCACGCAATGCGGTGTTAAGGTTGCGTGGTGGAGTCACGCATTCTGGTGAGATCAGGTTGGTATAGAGTGAGTGTAGCGTGCAATACTGTGTTTCACCACACATTAATTTAGAGGGGCGCTGTTTCATTCTTTGTAAAATACTCACTGACAACAGCGGAGAGATGTTTTTTAAGGCGAGACACCCCAGGTGAATAGGGTAATTTTTTTAACTTAAAGGTATCAGCTAGAAATTTCTCCAGTTAATTACTTACAATAAGACAATTGCTTTTTGTATTACAAGTTTTCTGAAATAGCATGTTTAAATATGCAAATTAGCCATTATCTCATTAAATATGCACATATTTTAACACATTTCAGGAATCGAAATCTGAACTTTGGATATAGCCAGGTTCAAAATTCTTGTTTCATTTTGTAGTCATATTAGTATCTAAGGCTTTTACAGAAGGGATATTGGATATCTCTTTTTATCACTCCATAAATCAGAAAATACTGTCAACAGCCCTAAAATATCCATTTTCGCCATGTTTTTAGGTATAAATGTTGTATAATTCAGGCTATGAATGATATATGAACAAACCCTTCAGTAAAAGCCTTCATAATATTGATAGGATTATAACTTGAAGGTTTGGTGAATCTACGTGCTACTGAAGTTGAAATTTCGAACTCAGAGTAGGAGAAAAAACTCATTTTGAGAAAAGGACCTTTAAAGATTGCAGTGAGGCGCTAGCTAAACCCTCCTGTTCTTTGGATGATAGCTTGCGCATCGACGCACTCCGTGAAGGTATTTCATGTTCAGGGTCATTTGTTTTTTGTATAACCTTGCTTCGTGCAAGTCACAATTGTTGTCGTCTTCTCTGCGAACGTTTTTTTCGCCGTTCTTTTGCCTGTGACGGAGCGGGTCACAGAGTGACTGACTCCGCCACTGACAGCCGACACACACACCAAACATTTCGGAGAAAAGGGGAAGGCGCATCACTTCCGTGTTTTAAATTCCTGAAATGAACCATGCAATTTATTATTTATTGTGTGTTTGTTAATTTGTTAAATGATTATGTTAAGAGGTGGTTAACCTGTTTTATGTTTGGGTTGGATTTTTTTATGTTGACAATGTGGTTTGAGGTAATTGCGTCACCTGTTGACGGTAAGCCTGTGGGAGGGGCTATGGGTTCAAAATGGACGGTTTTTGGCCCTGGAGGAGGACTCGGAAGAATGTTGCAATGAAGGCAACAGCTGGGACATGTTCAGGAGATGGTTGCAGAGAAGGCAACACCAGAGCATGTTCACTCTTTTGAGTGATGGACGGTTTGATTTGGACATTTATTTATTTAGTTTAAGTTGTGCTGGTTCGTTATTTTTTGTTTTGTTGCTGTTATTAAAGTTTTGGAGCTTAACCCAACCGACTAGGCCAGTGTTGTGAACGGACAAATAGAGCCCCGTCACATTGCCATTTTGAGATTTCAATTTCTAGCGGAAAGCTAACCAGGAAGTGTTTCAGCACACCACGTGACGCATCTGAACGAATCACGTTGTCAGAAATTGACACCAGCCAATGAGATTTTGTTTCTTGGTTTAAGACCCCTTTGTGCTTTCACGATTGGTTGCTGATACAAAGGAAATGACCATATTTGGATCCGATGAGATTGTGCAGGAGAGACACAGCTTTTTAACGATACCTCTGTTGACATGGTGCACACAGCGGTCGCGGTACTTTATGTCACGTTAGAATGCTAACTTTTGGTGAATTTAGGAGAAATCTACAGACGCAAATAGACAAACTATAGTAAAATAAACACTTAAATGTGTATTTTGTACGTTTTCCTTCCAAAAGCCTGAA